GTGTGTGTGTGTGTGTGTGTGTGTGTGTGTGTGTGTGTGTGTGTGGTGTGTGAGGGGGATGGTGAGTTGGGGAGGTAGTCGAAATTCACGTACCCTTCTATAGTTTTTGATAATGCTATAGCGTTGATTTATTCGACCTCCCTCTAGCAGAGCAATGTAACGATTAGCGTTGAATTATTTAAAAAAGCAACAACAAAAAACGATCACTCAACGGGCCTCGGGATGTGGAGGAGGCAGAGGAGGTGGGAGGGCTGAAACCGAGATAGGCGTGGGTGAAATTTAGCGGGGTGGATGCTGTTAATGTTAACAGATTATTGTGTCCAAATTTCAAAAGTAATAACCAGTGCATTCTGCCAACTGAATTCAGTCAAATTGAGTCGGGCCCAGGTTGTTTTCCTCCATGGAGAGACAAAACCACCATTTAATCACAATACGACCGATTCGACTCTCGAACTTGAAATAAAACTCGTTGGATTCTATAGGTTGAAACCGATTTATTAAAAACTCTGTCGAATCGTGTCAAAAAGATTACTTTTGCCCATCATGGAGAAAATCTGGCTAGCCCTGATTCGACCAATAATAGAATTCGATTGACGGTATGACGTAAAGTCTGGACGCAGAGACACGGTTTGCATTTGATTAAAACCATTTTATTAGAAAGTTTTCCCCCAAAAGATTATGTAAGATAAGGTGAGATATCCAGAAGTTTTGTTCAAGGCCCATCGCTGCTGATAACGTTTTATAGTCGTTGATGATTGCATGATCTGCCTAACGATAAACCTGTGTCCGATGTACTGCTCAAGTGGCGAACAAGTGGGTGGGATATTTTGCTAGAAAACTGCTTTATTCTCCTAAATGTATTATTGATTAGGCACAGGCATAGGTCCCAATCTCGATCTGATGAAATATCAACTGCTTTTATTACGTCAGCAACAATATTGATGAACAGCGGCTTCGGGGGATATCAAATTCCAGCGAAGCGGTACGTGAATCTCACAGTTCAGATTACTGCGATACCTAGCAGGGTTTTTGAGCTTTAATTTGTCGGGATGCTCTGTAAATGAAAATTATGTGGGACGCTCAATAATATACGTGCAAGTATCAGCTCGCACTTCCGCACATAAAATCATTACCCCGTTTGTTTACAGAATCAGAATCTATGATCGTTTCACGCATCTGAACACACGCTTTCAGGAAGTAATTGGGAAATCCCACACCCACAACCAGTTATCAGTGAGTGGGGCGAACACATCAGCTTGTTAAATAAAACAATGAGCCTCCAATAACAATCGCTCGTTCCGCATTCATGGCTAAATAGTCCCCCTGGTCCCTTGGTACTTATCACAACAGACAAAAAAAAAAAGAATAGCAATGGGGAACGATCGCGCTGAGTGCGATGGGATGCGGAACTGAATAATA